AGGTGAGCGCTACCATCAGTCCTGTGTCATGCCAACAGTAAAGCATCCTGAGACCATTCATGTGTGGGGTTGCTTCTCAGCCAATGGAGTGGGCTCACTCACAATTTTGCCTAAGAACACAGCCATGAATAAAGAATGGTACCAACACATCCTCCGAGAGCAACTTCTCCCAACCATCCAATAACAGTTTGGTGACAACCAATGCCTTTTCCAGCATGATGGAGCACCTTGCCATAAGGCAAAAGTGATAACTAAGTGGCTCGGGGAACAAAACATTGACATTTTGGGTCCATGGCCAGGAATCTCCCCAGACCTTAATCCCATTGAGAACTTGTGGTCGATCCTCAAGAGGCGGGTGGACAAACAAAAAACCATAAATTCTGACAAACTCCAAGCATTGATTATGCAAGAATGGGCTGCCATCAGTCAGGATGTGGCCCAGAAGTTAATTGACAGCATGCCAGGGCGGATTGCAGAGCTCTTTGCATAAACGTAATGTAATTGTCAATAAAAAGCCTTTGACACTTATGGAATGCTTGTAATTATACTTCAGTATTACCATAGTAACATCTGACAAAAATATCTCATAACACTGAAGCAGCGAACTTTGTGAAGACCAATACTTGTGTCATTCTCAAAATTTTGGACCATGCTAATCTAGGATCAGGTCCTTCCGGTCCATTCATTATAATCTAAAAGTCAATACCGAGTTTGGGTTGTTGGGAGGACGATTTGGGTGAAGGGAGGATGCTCAATTTCTCGTTTGGGTCTCGAGCTGAAAAAAGTTTAAGAACCCTAATTTTTCATAGGCTACCGGTTTGGCTAACTAGGATATGAAAACATCATGAATTACAACAAGTTTCAATTAAATCATTGTGGCAATCCTTCCCCCATAGCTACTCCAGCTAAACTGATTAGCTAGAATAAATAAGAAATTCCTTCCGTTAGGTTTCATTAGACGTTCCTCATTAGGTCCTAATAAGGTAAAGTGTTGTCATTTCAGCACCACGCCCTAAACACCTGATAACGCGTTTGTCCCGGTGAGAGGCTCGCCTGCCCTTCCGTGACTTCAGGAAACGGCACATTGACCCCCCTCATTGTTGATCCACCCTACCGGGAACAGAGAAACCGTTCTGACCGAAACGTTTATCGAAGTTGAGGGATTCTTTTGTATTACGACACTCGTATGCTGTGGCTTTCAATAGTTTAGCAAACATCCATAAAGTATCGAAACTTCGTTTCCCTATAACTCCCGAGGGAGTAACGGTTGGGAAAGAGAAACTTTTAATCACTGGACGGATTCCCGTTTCCATTCCACCATTTTGAGGTGTTTTTTTTTGAGTTGGGCAAGTTTTCAAGTGAATTGTCTTTCGGTAAGTTTTCACCGTGATTACGTGTGTTATTGTTAGTTACAAATGTAGCTGGTTGTCTACTTGTTTTATTCCGTTACATTTACTATTTGTTACCATTATTATTTTGTAATTGTTTCAACGTAATACGAAACTAAATTGTACGCGTCCCTCCGGTGTCTCCCTAGTATTGTGCTAGCTAACGTTAGCTGGCGAATACTTAACGTTAGGTACACCTGGCTAGTTAAATAGCAAACAGTGATGTTGAAAATACTGTATTAGATAACTAGCTAGTTCATTTACTGACAAACTTTAAATTGTTATGTTTGTTGGTAACTAAAACAATCATAACTTTTGTAAGTTGCGTAGGATTTCGATGTGGCCACTTGTCAGCTAACGTTAGCTAGCTAGCTAAGTTAGCCACAGACAACTAACTCGCCGCCAACAACAAATGTTTGTCATATCGCAAGACCAGCTCCGATGTAAAGCCAAACTAGAAATTAATCGCCAGGACATAACATTTAGTTTGTAAGTTAGTTAAGTGAAGACGTTGTAGTTAGTTAACTAGTCAGCTCGAGTGAACTTCCTTCCATTCCCAACGTCCCAGTTGAAAGTTGAAACGCATCCAGCCAGGGTGAAGAATTGGGCCATCGCCCTCCCTAACCGCACTTCCATTGTAATCAGTGCATGAATGATGCTCCTAGCCTTAACTGGCGAAAAGTGTTTTTTTTTTAAATGTAGTTTTCCATGTCTCTTTTTAAATGGAATAATAGCTAACGCTCAATCACTTTACTGCTGCCGTCCTCATATCCTCGACTAGATACTGTATCCCACAGCAACCCAAAATGATATTTTCTCTCAATCTGACAGTTTATCCAATCATATTGTAAACATTTAGTTTCCTATAAATAGGCCCACCAGAAACGAATTATAATAACCCTACCATTTATCACCATAAAAAAAAAGTATTTATGTAATCCTAGCTAACTTGAATAGATCCGGTGTTATTTTTTTTCCTGTGACTGGTTTTGGCCTAAATTCAGCCATTGTCATACTAATGCCCCCCTACTCCACCCTGTAAACCCAGTTGAACCGACCAGCCAACCACCCCCACCCTACCCTCTCCAATCAGTCTCAGCCTGTATCCAAAATAACACCCTGTAAACCCAGTTGAACCGACCAGCCAACCACCCCCACCCCACCCTCTCCAATCAGTCTCAGCCTGTATCCAAAATAACACCTTATTCTTTATATATAGGGTGTCCATTCACTCTGCCCAGAATGGGTGAAAAATGCGCTTTGGTGATGAAATGTCACTTCCTTATGGTATAAAATACATTTTACCAAGACAAATATGATTATTCTTGTTCTGAATCGTTCAGTGGGGTCTTTCTCTAACATATCATTAACATTTATATCACAAAAAATGCATTACACTTTACATTTACATTTTAGTCATTTAGCAGATGCTCTTATCCATAGCGAGTTAGTGAGTGCATACATTTTTCATATTGGCCCCCGTGGGAATTGAACCCACAACCCTGGCGTTGCAAGCGCCATGCTCTACCAACTGAGCTACACGGGACCTAATACTACATCCATTAATAAGTACCCAGCTCTGTTGACATAGCGGTGCAGGTTTCTCATAACAAATTGAGGATTTTACATTTTGTGGTGGTCTTCTTAAAGTTGTTTCCGCATGACACGAGCTGAATTAAATGTAAAAGGCTTTGAAAATAAAACGCTTGGTATACGCTCTGTTGACATGTCAGAGATACCCTTTTTTTTTGTAAGAAATCTCAGAAAAATAACAGGAATTTCGAATTGGTATGAAAAGCGTATACAAATATATGATAATACTGATGGATATCCATCAGGGGTCGCGTTAATGCGGAATTCTGTGTTTTCACCCAGGCAAAAAGATCAAACGCATAATAAATAACTTGCTTCATTTCGTAAATGCAGATCTAAAATGCTTCTTGTTGTTATTTTCTGCTCGGCATCAGACTAATTTTGTGCTTCTGTTGCACTTCTCCACACAGATGAGAATTCATGGATGAGAATTCACAAACAGCATTCTATTATAATAATAGTAATAATACTAATAATAATATGCCATTTAGCAGACGCTTTTATCCATGTATACATGGATAATATAAATTTTTACGTATGGGTGGTCCCGGGGATCGAACCCACTACCTTGGCGTTACAAGCGCCGTGCTCTACCAACATCTTACCTCTATTGTTTTATGTCCTGTGGATTGGAGAAGAAAGATGTTGAGTTCAACAGGAGAGTGAGCCTGTCAGGTATCCAGGAGCCATAATTCCTGCACAGAATCTAGCCCAGCTGACAAAATGTTCCACATATGACAACTGTTTTCCCCTCTGGCCTCCATTTAACATAGTCACCCTAATTCTAGCCATCCTACAAGGGTAAAAACTCCAATAACGATTGAACGGATTATGATAGAGACATGAGGGTTGGACCCCTGGTTTTCTTAAAGGATTATACACACAATTTAACATTATTATTTTATCCATAGGTCAAAGGATGTGTTTTTGATTGGAAATGCTACTAGATGGGGCCCTGGTCAAAAAAATAGTGCACTATTTAGGTAATATGGTTAAATTTGAGACACAGCCCCTCCAGTGTAGGCCAGACAGACTGGGTCCTGGGTCCAGACCTGCTCGGCCCTCGAGGCATCCTGATTGTCCCTGCCACTCAGTGCGTGAAGGTTAATCAATACGAGGCCAGCCGCTGCATGAAAAGGAAAATCGAAAAAGGGCCACAGTGTTACTCTGCTCCACTTATGGCCGTCTGTCTAACGGTGATAATATAATAATAATATGCCATTTAGCAGACGCTTTTATCCAAAGCGACTTACAGTCATGTGTGCATACATTATTTTATTTTTTTTTACATATGGAGGGAGACCTGTCTCCTCTGAAGAGGGAGCATCCATATTTATAATGGGGTCTGTACCAAATGTAACGACACCATGGGTGCTGCCCAAATGGCATCATTTTCCCTATTTAGTACACTACTTTTGCCCAGCGCCCTGTGGGCCCTGGGCGAAAGTAGTGCACTACATGGGGAATAGGGTGCCATTTGGGACGCACCCATGGTGTCGTGACTCTTGTTTAGCTGCAGCAGGGTTTCCCAAATCAGTGTAGCATGAATCGGTTCAATAATGGGTTTCACAGCTTTTTAAAAATGAAATGCAGTGTAAGGCCTTCTAGTGATGTGTTGGTAGCCCTTATCTAGGATGGATAGCCCAATAATGTTCTATGCTGCTCAGAGGTCAGTTGATATGTGTTGTACCTACCTCCAGGGTGAAAGTGTGCTGTGTTGTCATGGTGGGTGGCTTAACCCCCCCCCCCCCCCCATCTGATGAATGACCCAGCCAAGCCCCAGGCATCCATTTTCTCATATTCTCTCCTGTCCTCCTCAGTAACCATCCGTCCCTCTCTCCTCTCCTCCTCAGTAACCATCCGTCCCTCTCTCCTGTCCTCCTCAGTAACCATCCGTCCCTCTCTCCTCTCCTCCTCAGTAACCATCCGTCCCTCTCTTCTCTCCTCCTCAGTAACCATCCGTCCCTCTCTCCTCTCCTCCTCAGTAACCATCCGTCCCTCTCTTCTCTCCTCCTCAGTAACCATCCGTCCCTGTCTCCTGTCCTCCTCAGTAACCATCCGTCCCTCTCTTCTCTCCTCCTCAGTAACCATCCGTCCCTCTCTCCTCTCCTCCTCAGATACGTAGTGAACATGACAGCCATAAACACGGCCAACATCAACTTCAAATGGGACCCAAAGAGCCTGGAGATCCGCACCCTGGCTGTGGAGAGGCTGCTGGAGCCCTTGGTCACGCAGGTCAGAATACATACATTTTAACAATACGTCAGGGATGCAAACTCGTCACTTGACTTTTTCCACATTTTGATACGTTACAGCCTTATTCAAATTTATATTTTTTTATTTTTTTATCCCTCATCAATCTACACACAATAACCCATAATGAGAAAGCGAAAACAGGTTTTTAGAATTTATTTGCAAAAAAACGGATATCTTATTTACATAAGTATTCAGAACCTTTGCTACTATAATCAGAATTGAGCTCAGGTGCATCCTGTTTCCATTGATCATCCTTGAGATGTTTCTTCAACTTGATTGGAGTCCACCTGTGGTAAATTAAATTGATTGGATATGATTTGGAAAGGCACACACCTGTCTATATAAGGTCCCACAGTTGACAGTGCATGTCAGAGCAAAAACCAAGCCATGAGGTCGAAGGAATTTTCCGTAGAGCTCCGAGACAGGATTGTGTTGAGGCACAGATCTGGGAAAGGGTACCAAAAAATATCTGCAGCATTGAAGGTCCCCAAGAACACAGTGGCCTCCATCATTCTTAAATGGAAGAAGTTTGGAACCACCAAGACTCTTGCTAGAGCTGGCCGCCCGGCCAAACTTAACAATCGGGGGAGAAGGGCCTTGTTCGGGGAGGTGACCAAGAACCCGATGGTCACTCTGACAGAGCTCTAGAGTTCCTCTGTGGAGATGGGAGAACCTTCCAGAAACACAACCATCTCTGAAGCACTCCACCAATCAGGCCTTTATGGTAGAGTGGCCAGACAGAAGCCAAAGGCACATGACAGACCGCTTGGAGGAAACCAGGCACCGCTCATCACCTGACCAATACCATCCCTACAGTGAAGCGTGGTGTTGGTAGCATCATGCTGTGGGGATGTTTTTCAGCGGCAGGGACTGGGAGACTAGTCAGGATCGAGGGAAAGATGAATGGAGCAAAGTAGAGAGAGATCCTTGATGAAAACCTGCTCCAGAGTGCTCAGGACCTCAGACTGGGTTGACGGTTCACCTTCCAACAGGACCACGACCCTAAGCACACAGCCAAGACAACGCAGGAGTGGCTTCGGGACAAGTCTCCAAATCTCCTTGAGTGGCCCAGCCAGAGCCCGGACTTGAGCCCGATCGAACATCTCTGGAGAGACCAGAAAATAGCTGTGCAGCGACGCTCCCCATCCAACCTGACAGAGCTTGAGAGGAACTGCAGAGAAGAATGGGAGAAACTACCCAAATACAGGTGTGCCAAGCTTGTAACGCCATACCCAAGAAGACTTGAGGCTGTAATCGCTGCCGAAGGTGCTTCAACAACGTACTGAGAGAGGGTCTGAATACTTATGTAAATGTGATATTTCCGTTTTTTATTTTCGAAACATTTGCAAAATATTCTACACACCCGTGTTTGCTTTGTCATTATGGGGTATTGTGTGTAGATTGATGAGGGGGAAAAAACAATTTAATCAATTTTAGAATAAGGCTGTAACGTAACAAAATTTGGAAAAAGTCAAGGGGTCTGAATATTTTCCGACTATGCTGTACATTTTGATAGAGCAATAATGCATGCATTTTCATATAATACATACGTTTGATATATATATTTATTTATTTATTTATTTTTAGAACTGGTGGTTATACATTCATGATGGTTTTGATTGATACATTGATATCTAGCCCTAATGGCTTGGAAGACACTAGCTACTTCTACTGTTTTTAGTATGGAATCAAAGACGAGGCAAGTTGGCTAGCTATGGCTGTAGATAGTTTTAGATGATCTTTAGTCCGTGACTTTCAGAAGCAGCGTATAATGTGCATCTCTCGTCCTGCTCCTAAAGGTCACGACCCTGGTGAACTCCAGCAACAAGGGGCCGTCCAATAAGAAGAAGGGACGCTCTAAGAAGGCCCATGTATTGGCTGCCTCGGTGGAGACCGCCACCTTGAACTTCCTGGATAAAGGGGAGAAGATCGCCAAGGAGAGCCAGTTCCTCAAGGACGAGCTCACTGCTGCCGTGGAGGATGTCCGCAAGCAAGGTACCGTTCAGCCACTGCTGGCCTTGAAACCCTTTTACTCGGTGCTTTGGGCCAAGCAAACCTGACGCCCTCTGGTGGCATGTTTTAAGCGACACATAAATTGTAAACTTCCTTCATTAGATAATTTCGATTTTCAAAACTATAAGTCCTACAAAAACATTCTTAGTACTGTTAGAAAGGTATGAATTGTGGGATTCTGATACAAGTGTACAGCCACAACGTGACTATTACAGAGCAACAGCAGGCAAAGAAAAGCCCCAAAAAACATAAAAATGTGGTAGCTTCCCAAATTCCCAAAGAGATGTGAAAGTCTAGGATAGAAATACAATGTCACCAATTACCAATCCAAAAGGAAAATGTTTTTTTATACAAAAAAAGGTAATGTCTTTTACCTAATAGTGGCGCTCTACACATGCTAATTCCCATAGGAACACCGCCATTTTAAAAGTGCAGGGCTTGTGCAAGGTGCCAGGGCTTCCTTTTTTGTCTTACAGGAATGATATACACGAGGAGAAAGCTGAAGTTGTAACCTTTTCACTGTAACCTGGCCACTTGAAACCAGATGCGTCTGGTTTGAGTTGTACCACAATGTGCGAAAATGGTTGAACGGATTTTCAAGCGATTGGGACTTTCGAGTTACCAATTATTATAAAACATTTTTAAATACCACAGACAGGCGAGGAAACGTCAAACTTATTTTCCCATTGGTCAACGGCGCTTATGGAGGATGCATTAAAGCTAATGTGTATGAAAAGATATGCGTTGCATTACGATGACCACCAGGTTGTACCCTTTCCATGCATACGTTTCTGCGCTTTTGGTGACTTGACCTAAATTGCACACTATGAATATGACCATAGCGCATGATTTAATACTTTTGGGAGGGGAGGGGAGGGGGGGCATTATTATGACATCGCCAGCAGTAAGATTTGAGCTCAATTTCCAAAAAGACGAGCTGTAGCTTTCGAATGATATGTCACTTTCTATTTTCTGACCGTAATTGAAGGAGTGGGTAACACTTAAGCTCAGCGGACGCGGTACTGGGACAAAAACAAACGCTCAGAGTTTAAATGACTAACGGCCTTGAAACCCTTTGGAATCATGTAGTAATGAAAAAACAAATCAATCTATTTTCTATTTGGGATTCTTCAAATAGCCACCCTTTGCCTTGATGACAGCTTTGCACACTCTTGGCATTCTCTCAACCAGCTTCACCTGGAATGCTTTTCCAACAGTCTTGAAGGAGTTCCCACATATGCTGAGCACTTGTTGGCTGCTTGTCCTTCACTCTGCGGTCCGACTCATCCCAAACCATCTCAATTTGGTTGAGGTCGGGGGATTGTAGAGGCCAGGTCATCTGATGCAGCACTCCATCACTCTCCTTCTTGGTAAAATAGCCCTTACACAGCCTGGAGGTGTGTTGGGTCATTGTCCTGTTGAAAAACAAATTATAGTCCCACTAAGCCCAAACCAGATGGGATGGCGTATCGCTGTAGAATGCTGTGGTAGCCTTGCTGGTTAAGTGTGCCTTGAATTCTAAGTAAATCACAGACAGTGTCACCAGCAAAGCACCCCCACACCATAACTGGAGTCCAAATTGGAGATTTTTTTGTTCCAACCGCCGTATCTTTGTGAGACGCGTGCGGGTGAACGGATGATCTCCGCATGTGGGGCGGCAGGTAGCTTAGTGGTTAAGAGCGTTGTGCCAGTAACCGAAAGGTCGCTGGTTCTAATCCCCGAGCCGACTAGGTGAAAAATCTGTCGATGTGCCCTTGAGCAAGGCACTTAACCCTAATTGCTCCTGTAAGTCACTCTGGATAAGAGCGTCTGCTAAATGACTAAAAATGTAAATGTATTTCCCACCGTAAAGCATGAAGGAGGTGGTGGACAGATTTCCGCTGGTCTAATGTCCATTGCTCGTGTTTCTTGGCCCAAGCAAGTCTCTTCTTATTATTGGTGTCCTTTAGTAGTGGTTTCTTTGCAGCAATTCGACCATGAAAGCCTGATTCACACAGTCCCCTCTGAACAGTTGATGTTGAGATGTGTCTGTTACTTGAACTCTGTGAAGCATTTATTTGGGCTGCAATTTCTGAAGCTGGTAACTCTAATGAACTTATCCTCTGCAGCAGAGGTAACTCTGGGTCTTCCACTCCTGTGGCGGTCCTCATAGCGCTTGATGGTTTTTGAGTCTGCACTTGAAGAAACTTTCAAAGTTCTTGACTGACCTTCATGTCTTAAATAAATTATGTACTGTCATTTCTCTTTGCTTATTTGAGAAGTTCTTGCTATAATATGGACTTGGTCTTTTACCAAATAGGGCTATCTTCTGTATACCCCCCCTACCTTGTCACAACACAACTGATTGGCTCAAACGCATTAAGAAGGAAAGAAATTCCACAAATGGACTTTTTAAGAAGGCATACCTGTTAATTGAAATGCATTCCAGGTGACTACCTCATGAAGCTGGTTGAGAGAATGTGTAGATTGTGCAAAGCTGTCATCAAGGCAAAGGGTGGCTACTTTGAAGAATCTCAAATATTAAAATATTATTTGATTTGTTTAACACCTTTTTGGTTACTACATGATTCCATATGTGTTATTTCATAGTTTTAATATCATCACTATTATTCTACAATGTAGAAAATAGTACAACTAAAGAAAACCGATGGGTGTGCCCAAACCTTTGACTGGTACTGTACGTTTTGGGCCAAGTAAGTCACGGTTAAGCTGCTACTGGTCTTGACCCGTTATGTGGATGAGTAGGATGATGAATGATGTGATCATGTGGATGAGTAGGACTGGATCTCATCCACATTGGATGTTGACAAGTCGGGTATAGTTGCTGTATAGACTTGACTTAGGCAAAACCCTTTCATGAGAAGCATAGGGTCAACCACAATTTTGTGGTGGATGTTTTTGTGCCGTTTTCTCAAGTTCCTTCCAGTCAGTTCTATCTGTTATTAGGCTACACTAGACGGCAAACCTATTAATTGAAAACGTTGTTTTGAGGGGCCCACTTTGTCTAGTTGAAGAGGAAATGCTGATGCTCTGAAATGATCATGATTTGTCTAAGAGGTAATTTGACCTTCTATATTTATCTCCTGACTTCCAAGGGAACATATTTATTCAGTTGGTGCTCTATGAATCACCCCCACTGCTTTCTTCCATTGTACTCTGCCCTGCAGTCTTTCATTCTCTCTGACCCTGTATTGGGGGGAAGGAGAGTGTGCCAGGGTTTCTCTGGATCAAAAAGGGTCTTAGGGGTTGGACGTGGCAGGGAGTGCGGTCGGCCCGTCGTTACGGCTGAATTTTCAAGAATTTGAGGCCCCCCCCCCCCTGCCAATCTTGGCCGTGTAGAGATTGGCTTTAAAATGCTACAATTTCCTGCAATTCTACAAATTTTTCCATGGAGCCAAGATGATACATTTTTGCAGTTTTAAAGCTAATTTCCTGCAATTCTACACATTTTGTCATGCATCTGAGAGAAAATGTTGCAGTTGATTTAAAAAAAGAAAATGTGATTCTACATTCTGGAGCTGAGAATTTGTTTTTGTAGTTTTTAAAGGCCACCCAAGGAATTCAATGCAGGAAAATCCCTGTTTTGTCAGCTCGGTATAAAGGGTTGCCTAGAGACATGCGGCCTTGTGCGTCATCACCCCATTCTTTTTTACTCTTGTTAAATCTCATTACTCCTAGTAGCAACAGAGTGGGTTCTCCTCTCTGGAAGGTTAATGGAGAGGTTTAACCCTGTCAAGATGCTCGGCTCCTCATTTCTCAATGGCTTGTTTTGCCATGAATGTTTTAAAAGCCTGTTGATATCGATGCCTATTGAATGAGACGATGTGGTGTAGGGAGGAGAGGGAGATCACACCCGCTATCCTCCTCCTATTCTAAATATGAATACGGAGTACCTGTATCCCAATTTGCCCAGGCTAAAAATACAGATATTTAATTTTTTACGTTGCTGATTGCCCACTACGCTGTCTACATTAGCTGCTCCGCTGCCACTCCCCCCCCCCCCTCCTTGATCACCTCTGTCCGGTCACTGGTGTAGCACACAAACCTCATGTTGTACGCACAACTGTTCTAACTGTTGCGTTCCATGCATCAGTAAGCATAAGCCTGATTTCATGTTTTTCCGGAGGAGTAGGCTACGTGTTTTACACAAAATACATTACTTTGTCACCGTTGCCAACATAAGCCCGGCACAAACAGGCAGTCTAGTTATTTTTATGTTCTTAGCTGCTGAGTTACATGCAGCTATTTACTCTCAATTACCCCTGTACATCAACTCGGTACTGGTACCCCGTGTATATAGCCAAGTTATCATAGCCTCAGTACTGGTACCCCTGTGTATATAGCCAAGTTATCATAGACTCAGTACTGGTACCCCCTGTGTATATAGCCAAGTTATCATAGCCTCAGTACTGGTACCCTGTGTATATAGCCAAGTTATCATAGCCTCAGTACTGGTACCCTGTGTATATAGCCAAGTTATCATAGCCTCAATACTGGTACCCTGTGTATATAGCCAAGTTATCATAGCCTAGGTCCTGATACCCTGTGTATATAGCCAAGTTATCATAGCCTCAGTACTGGTACCCTGTGTATATAGCCTAGTTATCATAGACTCAGTACTGGTACCCTGTGTATATAGCCAAGTTATCGTTACTCATTGTGTATTTATTATAACTTTTATTATTACATGTTTTACTGTTCTATTATTTCTGTATTTTCTTCTTCTCTGTATTGTTGGGAAGGGTCCTTAAGGAAGCATTTCACAGTTAGTCCACCCCTGTTTACAAAGCAGGTGACAAATACATTTTTTTTAATTTGAACAGACAGACAGAATGGTTGTAGCCTTCATCAGTTTTGGAACGTTTGTTCAAATCGCCACAGGGTTTTTATTTCAGCTGTTCAGAAATGAGACAGAGACATGGGCTACATCCTGGTTCAGAAGAGGGTGGGTAAAAAGCTAAATGTGAAGGGAGGGGGTAGTATGAGCAGCAGCTGAAATGTGTATCTAAAATATTACTGCTTTTAAGAGAGAAAGGTTTCCAAA